AGGCCACCAATCACTGATTCTGTCTCATCATTGATGTTTCTATCTCGCTCTCCCTCTCCCTTCCTCTCTGAAATCAATAAAAAAAATATTTATATAATAATAACTTTTCTTAGTTAATAGAGTATTCTGTTTCCTCTGTCTTAGAAGGTCATGGGTATAAATGAAGATGTGAAACCCATCTATTCATTCTTGTAAAAAATACTGAATATTCATTTGTCAGGCCCTCTGCTTAGTAATTGAGATTTGATGTTCAAAAACAAAATAACAAAATAGGGTGAGGTGATGGGGTGTGGCCTCTGAGGTGGGTGGTCTGTGAGAAGGTGATATTTGAGCTGACACCTAAAGAACAACAGGGGCAGCCTTGTGATGATCTGGGGACAGAGCACCCCAAGCAAAGTATCAACCAAAGGACTTGTATGCATGCATATAAGCCTAAGGAATGGACACAGACAACAGGGGGATGAAGGTATGAGTGGGGGGATGGAGTGGGTAATGGGGGAGATAAGGACACATATGTAATACCTTAATCAATAAAGAAATTTAAAAAAAAAAATTTAGACCCAGCGCCTCTAGCAGAGAGAAGCAAGGGAAGAAGTGCGCACGGCCAGATCCTGTAAGGTGTGGCAGACCATAGCAAACGATGAGGTTTTGTGAACATGCAATGGGAAGCCCTGGGAGGGCTGTGACAGAGGGGCAGCATTCTCTGATGAAATTTTTGAAAGATTGCCCTGGCTGCTGTGGGGAGAACGAATCTCAAAGTCCAAGAGTGGAGTCAGGCAGGCTCATTAGGAGGTTTCTGGGGATAATATGATGATGGCTTAGACCTGTGGACAGATTGGGACACCCCTGAAAGGGCAACTAGCAGGCCTTGTGGATAGATAGGATGTTAGGGGGAGGGAGAAAGAAAAGGGCCTGACTCTTCATCATAAACAGTCCTGATTGAAAGCAGCCCCACAAGTACATCAAATTCTGTAAATCATTATTGTCCAAATATTTCATTTTGTTGTCATCTCCTCTTGCCTGCTCAGAACACAACCTTGTTTGGAAGCACATAAAGGAATTCTCTATTGGCCCCTGCTCTTTTTAGGGCCATGTGTGGCTTTGCCTCTGTCTAACCCTGCTGAGGGAGGCTAAGGACATTTATCCTGCCCCTGGTTCTAATATAAGCTGAGAGAACTTGAATCATTTCACTTTTCTGTATCTGTCATCTGAGAAATGGGGATATTAATGCCTACTCTGCAGAGGTTTTCTGGTGATAAGATGAAAGAACACGTGGTCTGGCAACTAGCTGAACTTCAATAAAGGGTAATAAAAGTGATGATGATAAGTGTCTCACAAGACAGAAGTGAGTAAAATTGACCTGGTTCCATCAGCTTGGAATCATTTAGTTCAATCTAAGTCTCTCCACTACCAAACACCATTACTGTAACTTAAGCCCAGGTCCATAAAGAAATGGCTGGGATTTGTCAAGCAACAGTGGTTTGTCCAGAGCAACAGTTTGGGCTGACCGGGTAATCTCTTGATGTTATTGTATTACTTATTCCTAGTTCTTTTTACCAAAAAAAATATTTTTATTGATTTCAGAGAAGAAAAGAGAGATTGAAACATCATTGATGAGAAAGAATCATCGATCAGCTGCCTCCTGCATACCCCCCCCCAAATGGGGATTGGGCCCACAACCCGGATACGTGCCCCAACCAGGAATCAAACCATGACCTCCTGGTTCATAGGTCGATGCTCAATCACTGAGCCATGCCAGTCGGGCTTCCTAGTTTTTTTTTTGTGAGGCATAGGAATAATTTTTGAATCAGTAGCAAGAAAAAAAGTTTCTGATAAAATAATGAGCCTCCCTTATTTTGAGCTTTCCTTTGATGCTTGCCACCTCCTTCTTATTATGGCTCTTTGTCCACCATTGAAAAGGCCAGTGTCCTCAATTTGTGCCCAGCTGGAAAGAGAACATTGAGCTGAAGAGTGCAAAGGAGCAAAGAAGTCACACTGAGATGATATTTTCCTTCATGAGACATTTCAACAAGCATAACAGAGAGAATGTCTTATGAGCTGACCATCAGTTTTAAATATGGAAAATATTTCCTGACTTTAGAGCAGTCATTATGCCCTTTTTTTTTTTAGATGTCACTAACAAAGTAAGTGGTTTGTCCTATATAAATACCATATTTAACATAAGGAGAGAGAGAAAAAAGAGAGAAAAGTGACTGCTTCCTAAATCCTAATATGTACCCTGAGCCTTGCACATTTGGTAAGAGAGATGCTTCTTGATCCTGATGCATTCTTCTTATCCCTCTGCTTTTGATGCCTTCTTTTATGTCTTTAATCACTTTAAGTGTACTTGTGTTACCGTCTCTACCATATTGTTCTATCACCGGAAGTTCTCAGAGGTATAACTGTAGCTTTCTTTGTCGACTACTCTCACTCACAGTCCATGATCAGCCGGGCTTTTGCTATAAGAATCCTCGGTGACCTATCTGAAGCTGTGGCCCTGCAGAGTATTTGAAAGTTTGCTTCTGCCATATCCTTCAGGGATTATTTCTAACCTGAGACCAAGTTTGATTTTAATGTTTCAGCTTATGGGTTTCTGAATGTGATAGTTAGTAAGTATGAATCCCCAAACCTATAAGGCATAGTCACAGATCCTCAGGGGAGACTTTTTCTCCATCCATGGCCCAGGAAAAGACAAACATCCTTGTGACAACAGATGGTTTTCCCCCCTAAGCCATCCTTTTCAGGGTCTCATTTTCGTGTGGTGATATCAGTTCCAACTTCCGACTTCCTAATTTTCATGGGCCCTAGCACTTGAGTTCTGTGTTTGCAAGTTTAGCCATTTATTTAAAAGTAATGTGTGTTCTGTTTTATTCAGAATATCTTAACATTTTTGGTGGAAGGGTTTTTTGAATTATCTGTACTCCACATAGCTAAACATGGAGCTATCAACTCAATCTTCATACTGCAGCTGGAAAGAACTTTTCAACAAGTAAATATGATTTATTAGTCTTAGTTAAAACATGGAGTAACTTCCCAAAGGTCTTAGGATAGAAACTAAAATCCATAACCAAAAAGGCCTTCCCTACTTCCCCATCCTCATGTTGCATTATATCCCTTCTCATTTACTCACACTGAGTTTCTACTCACTCTTGATTTCTAGAATGTACCTCACTCCTTACCATAGCAACTTTGCACATTCTGTTCCCTCTTACTGGAACACTTTCATGTTCCCCCAGTTCATTCACCATTCAGATCTCAACATAATTGCAAGGCCCTTGTGTAGGTAAGTTTCCTCATATGTTTGTATATTGGCTCAGATACCTTCTCCTTTATTATACAGTTGTGACTTTACATTTATTTTTGTAGTTATTTTTAAATATATCTCTCACTCACTGGACTGCAAGCTCTGTGAAGGCAGGTGGCATGTCTATTCTTATTCACTATTTTTATTACTCACTGGACTGCAAGCTCTGTGAAGGCAGGTGCCATGTCTATTCTTAATCACTATTTTTATTAGTCAGTAACACTAACTGCTACATTCACAATCACACAAAAAATCCTAAAATCTCAGTAATTTAACACCATAAAACCTTACTCCTCATGCCATAGTCCAATGCAGGTCAAGCAACTCTTCTCCAACTGAACTCCAGAGACCTGAATGCAGCACCATCTTCAGCATGTTGCCATTTCGGTCTCAGTGAAAGGGAAAGAGAACAGAAGACCACATGGGAGGTTTTATGAACTAGGCTGGCACTTCCCATTGGCCAGAACTCAGTAACAAGCCCTATTATAAAGAGCTGGGAAATACAGAATACCTGTGTGCCCAGGAAGAAGAGGAGAAAATGGTTGTCAGTGAGCACTCACCATTGTATTTTTAGCAAAGAGCAGTTCCTAACAATAGGAAGTTCTCAATAAGCACAGATTGAGTAACTCAACAAATGGATGTATGGATGGATGGAGGAGGGATGGATGGTTTTGTTGTCAATGGGTAGCTCATTGATTCAGTTAGTCTGTAAGTTCTTTGAGTAGGAAGGCCATATCTGTGTTGCTCACCAGGTTAGAGAAGTTGAGGCACATAGCAGAAGCTCCCACAAGAATAAATGATCGCCACTATGTGGAAGTTTTTATGGAGGAGATGCACTGAGAGTGGATCTTTAAGGAAGGGTATGGAAATAAATTGGAAAGGCATTATAAGAAGTACATGTGGGAAAGCATGGAATGGATAGGGGGAAAAGTAGAAGAAAGTTAATATGCATATGGTTGAGGTAAAAAGAAAGAAATCAATGGCAAACCTTACAGGAGTAACACCTCACCCAGCTAGTGTCACCTAAACATGTCTGGGGGGTCCCAGACTCCATTATTTTCTCTCTTGATGTATTATCACCTTACACTTAGGAATAATGGTGCCTCTTTTTGTGAAACAGCACATTTCCCCTCCCATTTTGACGTGTAATGTCAAAAATGAGTAAAATGTGCCCAGAAATACATATTTGGTTAGCCAGAAATTGGTACAACAGAAGGCATTTTGCCCCTGACCATACAGAATGGTAAACCATACTAGTTCCAGCCCCAGCTGTCAGGCCAGGATTTCGCCCTAGCCCTTGTCTAATCAATACATAGAACTGCCTAGTGCCATCGGGAGGGAGCTGTATTTTAAAAAATGAATGAAGTAGGACAGCCAAAATCTTTCCATTCTTCATGCTCTTCTCTGCAGCTTTCTGCGTAGGCATGGGGACTACCCCGAGAGCCTCAGATGGGCACATGAAGGTGCCACCCTCCTCTGCCCCAGAAGAGGCGGGGGCTACAGAAGTAACCCGCCCTCCATTACAGGCTTCTGAAATGCACTATTGGAGTTAGTGACAGGGGAGCCGGTCTACCTCGGGGGCTACGGCAGTGCAATGAGCTTTAGTGGATCAATACTTTAGTCTTGTCATGCTAATTGCTCATTGGTTGACATTCATGATCCTTCCTTGCTCCCTCCCTATGTAAACTCTTTACAGCTTGGAACAGCAAGATGCAAAAATCCTGAGTCTTCATAGCCAGCTCCTGCCGAAGAGAGAGGGCCTGGCAGCTGAGGTATGGTGCTCCCCCATTTTCTTGTCCCCCTTAAAAAAGCTTCATGTGTGCCTGCATGTGGTGATGTGAGAGGGAGACGCACGAAGAAATGCCTGGGGTCACTCCTGCAACACGTCAATGGTGTTACCTTTTCAGAACAAAACAATGTCTCCTCCCTTTCCACTCCTCCCCCTCTACCAAAAAGTAAAAAGGAAGAAAGGAAGGAAGGAAGGAAGGAAGGAAGGAAGGAAGGAAGGAAGGAGGAAGGAAGGAAGGAAGGAAGGAAAGAAGGAAGGAGGAAGGAAGGAAGGAAGGAAGGAAGGAAGGAGGGAAGGAAGGAAGGGAGACACAGAAAAATACCCACCCCTTCTATGAGTTCTGTTTTGGTGAATGTGTCGCCCTTCTCAGTGTGTGTGTGTGTGTGTGTGTGTGTGTGTATGGGGGGGTGGGCGGGTGTGATCACGCCTACCATATTGGCTTCCTGTCCCTGGAACATCAGCTTTTCTTGCTGGCTGAGCCTGTCCCCACAACCACTGTTGCCACTGAGACCACCCCAACTCCTACCCTGTACGCTTCAGGCCTGTGCTATGCAGGGTTTGGTTAAGCTGTTTAGTATTAATTGATTTTTTTCCATTTTTTTCTTTCTTTCCCTGGGCGGGTCAATAGCTGGATGCTTCAGGAGCAGAGGATCTATCAACTGCAGACCAAGCATACGGAGACGCAGGCAGACCTGGAACAGAAACCCAGCAGCTCCAGCGGCTCCAACAGCACTTGGTGGCCGGACGGTCAGCCGCAGGAAGCGTGCCAGGGGCCATGAGGCAGGAAATGACCCAATCCTTGAGGTCTGGTAAGTTTTCTCACTTTTGGAAAGTGAAGCAAATGATAACCAAGCCTTTCTTTTCTTACCCGAGAGTCGGCAGCATTTCTGCTGATTTCAGTTAATGAGCTAAAGATCAAAATTGGGATGCCCCCAGCATATCTGGGAGAGTGGAGGGGTTGTGAGGGAGGAACGGGGATTTGGGGGATAGATGAGAGCTCACCAAACTCCGATCCTAAGGTGAGCTGCTGCAGCCAGGCAGATGTCCTGGATATCGATCCCTGCATCCTGTTATCGATCTCCTCTTGGGGCCAAGAATGGGGTGGACCTTCAGAGGACAAGAGAAGAACCAACACCCTCCCAGAGGGCCGTGCAGCTCTAATCGGTGATAACGGTGTTAAGTGGTCAGCTTGGAGATGAGGTTTTGCTCAGATCTATTGATCTGTGCTCCCCTGGGATACAAATCCTTCTGAATTTGCTTCTGTGGATATAAATATTTATAATTAAAATAGCCTAGGCACCTCTTACAGGCTTGGGAGAGTGGCCCATCCTAGGGTAAGGTTTGATATCAGCCTCATATCCGTGTATGTACTGTCTACAGTGTGGGGGAAATTCATTTGTACACGCTTCTCCCTCTCCTGCATCCCTCTGTTCTCTCTTTTGAACCCTATTTTGCTCACCCTCTGAGTGACAGGCACAATGTCCGCTGACTACCAGAAGCTGGGGGAAATCCATTCTTTCTGAATGCAGCCTCCAGCCGAGGATCTGGTTAAGGCTACACAGTTTCATGTGCATTCAGGAGCCTGGACTCAGAAAGGAATGGGCTGTTTTTGGCGGGGGCATGGGGACCTCTTTAGTTGTTGCTTTGTTCTTGCTTTTATTGGGGCATCAGTTTGGATCCAGTAACGTACAGGCTTTGTCGCACAAATGTTTTAACCAATGCCAAGACACTGCAGGCTCACTAGCAGTGTTAAATCCAGGAGAACAATTTGAAGGGCCCCAGACTCCTGTTTCTCAGCACCTCGTAAATATAAGCTCACATGAAGTGAACAGAGCATCCCTTATCCTAGAGAATAGAAAAAGAAAGGATGCTGAGGACTCGTTTGCAGGCATAACCCTTGAAGCCAGCCGGCCAGATCAAGACCATTGGCCAAAGCTTTGTCCACTGTAAGGACAATCCTATAAGGGATTGAAACCAATCAGCTTTAATTTTCAGAAATTTGAGTTGTAGGAAGAATGGTCTTTGAAATCATTTGCTGTGCTCGCTAAAGCTATCATCGGCTTTGGTGTCCAGGATACAAATCTTTTCCCCTGAATCTATCATCTGCTTTGGTATCCAGGAAACAGTCTTTCAGTTTTAGAACTTCTGACTTTTTTTAATCAAGTGTCTGCCTTGCTTCAGTGCTTACATCTTGAACTGTGTGTCTTTGCATGCTGCCCTCGGCAGGTTTCATTAATTTGTAATTGATGCCTATAAAATTATTTAAGGACTTCTGGATCTTACTTGTCTAGTGTGTATGTTATTGGGTATGTAGGTACTGTCTAGGATGTGGGGGAAATTCATTGTGTTTTGCTTCTCCTGGTTTTAGACTGTTCCTTCACTCTGGGCCATTTGTGTGAGTTAATAAATATATGTCTGTGTATCTCTGTGCAGGTGTCTGTACTTGAGAAGCAATTAATATAATCAGGTTAGAGTAGTGACCCCATATTTCTCTACCATTGCATTAACTATGCATTCCCAAATGCATATGAAGCTTTGTGTGTTTTTTCTTTTTATTCAGAGGTGGTAGTTTTAGAACTCAAATCTAGCTTTCTTCTCTGTTAGAAAATGATTGAGGGTTAGAGACTATTCCAACTGGCAGTTAAGGGTCAGTATTTTGGACTCCATTTGGCTCTGATAATTTATATAGAATGAAAGTCTAACAGGTATAATCACAATAGCCTTGACTTAAGAATGTTTCTAAGCATACTTGAGGTTGAAAAACACTTCAAGCTGAAAATGGAAGACTGTTCTGGTTAGTAACTGTATGTTTCTGTGGTGATGGAAAGAATTGGAATGCAGTTCTCTTTGTTTGATTTATATGGTGACACTCAGAATGTGAAAGGTGTATTTTACTGTAGAAATAAACTTTCAACATTGACCTAGAGAATGGAAAACCCAGGCTGGTACTTAATTTCTTCTCTGCTAGGTTATAATGAAAAGCATAATTAATTTTAAAAAATAATTTTTTAGACAGAAAAACCTTGACTGGTGTCTTTCTCCCATTGTTTGCAATATTTTCTTGCATGATTCATCTGAAGAACAAGCTTATTTGGAGGGAGTGACCTAAATTTCAAAATTCAATGCACTTCATTAATAAATGTGTTTTCTTGTGATCTTAGTGCCACTAAATCTAAACAACACATACATAAATTCATTGCTGTCCTGTGCTACTATTTCTACAAGCCTTTTTGAAAGCTTGTTGCCAGCCACAGGGAAATGGTTTTATTATAGAATCACCTACGATTTAGGATAACAAGCTTCAATGTCTTCAGTATTGTAGAAATTTAATTCCTGTGTTATGGATATATTCATATGCTACATTTGTCTTTTTTATTCTATATACACATATGTTGTTGTTAATCCTTACACCAAGATATTTTTTCCATTTTTTTTTAGAGAGAGTGGAAGGGAGGGAGCAAGCGGAGGGGGGTGGGGGGCGCAGAGAGAGAGAGAGAGAGAGAGAGAGAGAGAGAGAAGAAAAAACTGAGAAACATTTACATGAGAGAGAGATTAATTGGTTGCCTCCTGCATGCACCCCAACTGAGGTTAGAGATCAAACCTGCAACCCAAGTGCGTGCCCTTGACTGGGAATCAAACCTGCGACCCTTCCGTGCACAGGCCAAACTCTAACCACTGAGAAACACTGGCCAGGGCTATAGGTATATTTTTCAATCCCATTTGTCTAAAAGGGTTTGCATGCAAAAGTTTTTACATTCAAAATACAGGGGTGGGAAAAAGTAGGTTTACAGTTGTTTGTATAGAAAAAGACATACAGGTTATGATTATTCCAATAGCTTCATTAACTCAAAAGAATGTAGCAATGCAGCTATAAACCTATGTTTGCCCACCCCTGTATTTTATAATGCAAAGATAAGAATATTTCACAGTTATTTTTATAGTCATAACATAAAAATGTAATTATATTGATATTTCACTGTTATCTTTATTAATAATATATACATTAAGTTTTAAATTAAGTTTTCTGAACACCTTGACGTATTCATTTAATCCTTAGTGCAAACTTATAAGTTAGAGCAAGAGTCATTATCTCCATTTTACCAATAATAAACATGGACAAGGTGACACATTAATTAGTGTGAGACTTGAGTCTATAACAATGATGGTGAACCCATGACACGCATGTCAGAGGTGACATGCGAACTCATTTTTTTGGTTGATTTTTCTTTGTTAAATGGCATTTAAATATATAAAATAAATATCAAAAATATAAGTCTTTGTTTTACTATGGTTGAAAATATCAAAAAAGTTCTATATGTGACATGGCACCAGAGTTAAGTTAGGGTTTTTCAAAATGCTGACATGCCGAGCTCAAATGGTTTGCCATCACTGGTCTATAACCTGAGCCTATGGACTCCTAATCAAGTGCTTTTCCGAAGCTACCAGCTACCTCCATTAATGTCTGATAAAATTTCAGCATGTTCTACATGTCCAGCACTATCACAACCCTTGAATTGCCAGTAAGACAGTGTTGGTTGATCTTAAATTCTACTCATGCAAGAAAAGGTAGCATGTAAGTATTTTAGGCATCTTTCTTTGGCCTTCAGCATGCCACAAATGGCTGCAGAATCCAATGACATGACAGGCCATTTTGTTAGGCTCCGAAATTCTTTGAGTTATTAATATGCCTAATAAATGAGTTTGGTCACCAAGAACATGTCCCTGTGAAAATAAAATGAGTATCCTATCTAATAAAAGAGTAATATGCAAATTGACCATCACTCCAACACACAAGATGGCCACCCCCATGTGGGCACATGATGGCCAGCAGGGGAGGGCAGTTGGGGGTGACCAGGCCTGCAGGGGACGACAGTTAAGGAGGACCAGGCCTGCAGGGGAGGGCAGTTAGGGGCAACCCAGCTGGCAAGGGAGGGCAGTTAGGGGTGACCAGGCCAGCAGGGGAGGGCAGGTGGGGGCGAACAGGCCTGCAGGGGAAGACAGTTAGGGGCAACCTGGCTGGTAGGGGAGCAGTTAGGCGTCAATTAGGCTGGCAGAGGAGTGATTAGGAGATGATCAGGCTGGCAGGCAGAAGCAGTTAGGGGCAATCAGGCAGGCAAACAAGCGAGCTGTTGGGAGCCAGCAGTCCTGGATTGTGAGAGGGATGTCCGACTGCCTGTTTAAGCCCAGTGGGATCAGGCCTAAACGGGCAGTCGGAAATCCCTCGAGGAGTCCCAGATTGGAGAGCGTGCAGGCTGGGCTGAGGGACACACACATACACACACCCGTGCACGAATTTCATGCACCGGGCCTCTAGTATAATATTATATTTTACAATATCATTGTGCATATATTTACTCCTCATACCTACCAATATCTGCTTTTAAAGAAACATTATGTCTAATTAGAAGTATCAATTGTAGTCCTTAAAGTCAAGCATAAACTTTTTCACTTCTGAAATAACTACGTCCCTTCCCCCAACCTTCTCATCAGTTCAGAGGGTCTTAATCTTTTCTGTGCTGTGGATCCCATTGCCAGTCTACCATAGACCTGAATCCTATGGACATCTTCTCAAAAATAATGCTTTTAAATGTGTGGAACAGAATATATAGAATTATAAAGGAAACCAATTTATATTGAAATTCAGTTATTAAACTATCAAAATCAACTAAATACTAAAACCAATTTCTGATGTGATAATGTATACTTCTTAATAACATGCTATAATTTTAAGGTAGTGATGAGCAGAAGAGATATTTTTAGGTTACCTACAATATGTGATATGGATATAATATTAAAATAG